AGGAAGGAAGGAAGGAAGGAAGGAAGGAAGGAAGGAAGGAAGGAAGGAAGGAAGGAAGGAAGGAAGGAAGGAATTTTAGAAGGCAGGAATTTTGGAAGGAAGGAAGGGAAGGCCGTGTGAGCCTCACAGCAAGAACGAGAAATGTGTGACAGACAGAACTCAGACCCCCAGGTGAGAGCCACAGCACCTGAAAAAAGCCTAAAAAAGGTACAACTTCAGCTGAGAGGAAGAATCAAATCAGAATTTGCTCCAAACAGCAACTCAGCTGCCTCCAAGGCAGCCCTGCTGACAGCAGGAGAGAAGCCATTAGAGCTGTGACACTTGATAAGACAGGCATGACACGGTACCACGAACACAAAATGTCACTTTGAGAGCTGCTGATAAATCACTCGCTAGGCAAAAAGAACCAACCTTCCCAAACACCAGAAGGATGAAGCTGTGGGTTTGTTTTTTTTTTTTTTTTTTCTTTGCTGATATTTAAGCTCTTTGGAGTTTCACAATCTGTTGTAAACGTGGCCACTTCCCAAAAATCGAGACACTGCTGAACGCTGAGCTCGGTTATAAAAGTTTGGAAAAGTCTTGCACTGGCGTGGTTATAAAAATTTGGAAAAGCCAAAAATGTGCCCATCTGAGGGATTCTTACCTGCAGCACRTCCTGGATCTTCACCCACACATCCACCATGTCGTAGAGTTTGATCTCACCGTCGGACTGGCTGCAGGGAGACGCCACCGTCTGCTGCAGGTGCCCGAGAACCACCGCGTGCGCGGCGGCCACCGCGTTGAATTTATCGAAGAGCAGCTCCAGCAGCTCCAGCAGCAACCTGGGGAGGGTGGGAAGAGCTCTGCTCAGCTTCTGGAACGTTCCACAGGCGGGACAGGGGCTGTGGTTTGCCCGTGTCATGGTTTGTGATGGGGATGGGGTCACCTGGCTGCAAACCCTCCTGGAGGGGGATTTATTTCAACTCAGGTTTGATGCCTGAACACTCCTGAGGATTTTCCCCCTCATTCCCTCCCTTGCTCACTGTTCAGGTGTCCTGCTTGGGGCTACAGGGATGAAAAAATCATTAACGACTCCATGGTAATTAAACTGGACTAACCCTGATGCCTGGTGATTTTTGCCTTTTCTTTTTATATACACTCCTACATATTTTATATATATTTTTATATATTCTATATCCCCTTTTAGATATTTTCTAGATCCTTTTAGATATTTTTCTGTACCCTTTTAAGATATTTTTCTTGACCCTTTTGGATATTTTCTGGACTGTTTATGTATTCCTGGTAACCTGTGATTTTTGCCTTTTCTTTTTATATACACTTCTATATATTTTATATTTCTTTTTATATATTCTATATCTCCTTTTAGATATTTTCTAGATACTTTTAGATATTTTTCTATACCCTTTTTAGATAATTTTTTTCTACACCCTTTGGGATATTTTCTGGACCATTTATGTATTCCTGGTAACCTGTGATTTTTGCCTTCTCTTTTTATATACACTTCTATATATTTTGTATATCTTTCTAAATATTCTATATCCCCTTTTAGATATTTTCTAGATCCTTTTAGAT